AAGGTAATAAGTGCTGTAGCCATTTGAGATTTAAACAAATTATGTGATGAAAATATTGAAGATGTGATACTGAAAGCATAACTCTGCTGCTGTAACTACAAATATGTGATTACCATGCTGCCCCTGTCCAATTAGCAGTAAAAATTGGTAAAATAAAATAAATAAAATAAAATAAAAATTGGTAAAATAAAATAAATAAAATAAAATAAAAATTGGTAAAATAAAAATACGTGTTGACTTCAACACTCATTATCTGATTGAGTTGTTTTGTTGGATTCCATTACCATCGGCTATGCAAGAGTCAATAAAGCTGCATGTCAACTGTGCACCAGTCAAGTGATTAAAGTCGACTCTCTCCGTGCATACTCCGTGTATACTGTTTATTGTATATACACGCTTGCTATTTTTTTTTTTAGTTTTGCACAAAACTTTACTTAAGAGACCTTACCTAACGTAATATAATTTATTATATTGGGCCAATTTACTAAACATATTATTTAGTAAACATGTTTAGTATTATATAGAATTAAAATCAGTGATACGTATTTTTTTTATTTAGTATTAAATAACTGTTTTATTTAGTATTTTAAACTAAAATCAGTGATAGTTATTTTGACTGTTTTTCGCAGAATGCATATTTTTTCTCTTATCCGCTTATCCGGCAAAAATAAAAAGACAGTTACTTTTTAAGCTAAACTCACCGATTCGGCGAGTAATATGTGCTGAATAATATAATCAGCCCATTAACTAGACCTACGTCACTCTGTAATGCCTATATCCTGTAATCTATTAAATTATCCTATAATTTTGATGGTGGTGAAGTTGTTTGCATCATGTAGGAAGAGCGGGAGAGAGAGGGAGGGGGAGAGAGAGAGCGCACAGCAACTACGCTTTGGTTGTATCGTTCTCAAGAACTTCACTTCATTTGCGATCAGTCATTGCTATAATGACCCAAGTCTGGAACATGTTCGCACAACATAATGACATCGATAAAATAGTGAGTTGACCAAATAAAATCGCTGGTCCACAGATGGCTCTAACTTCATCCTATTTCCTATTTGTATGTCTCGTAACAATAAAAAGATTTTCAAATGAGCTGAGGCAGTTAACAGCCCTTAACCTGTAAATAAAGGCAGGAACTCGTAACCTAACCCTGTAAAACCATCGTGTAAATGAAGAGAGAAGGACGAAGCCAGTCCACAGTATATCGATTTATTTAACTCGGAATGTTGTCACTCCTCAAGGGAGGTTCCTTGATGCCGGTGAGGCGCTCTTGATCCATAGAGTTGGACCTTTCTTCTTCCCTGGATCGAACTTGATTTAGTGCTAACCGCTAAATAATATAACAGCGAAGGTTCTCGAAGCGTGACAGTAAGTGCAGCCTTAAAATTGCTGCTGTCACAGTGTGACACGTGTTGACACAGTATGACACGTGTTGCTGCCATGGTATGACCCCTCTTGCTGTCACGGTGGCCAGTGTTGTTGCTGTCAGTGTGACTCGTTGTTGCTGTCAGTGTGACTCGTCTTGCTGTCACAGTGTGACTCGTCTTGCTGTCACAGTGTGACTAGTATTACCATGGTATGACCTTTGTTGCTGCCACGGTGTGACCCATGTTACTATCACGGTGTGACCTCAGTGCTGATGTCAAGCAGTTCAAACAGTAAGTGAAAGGAGAGAAAGTTTTTCCTAGATTTTCTGTATAGACCATAAATTTTACCCAGTCATTATGAGGACAATTTGCTCTCTCATGTCTGTAATTTTATAGGTCCGTTCATTTCATCATTGATTTTGAAACTAAAACTGTATAACTTCCGTACATAATCAAGACCAAGTTTTATCTCTTACCTGAATCAAGGCTTTTGATTAAATTTTTATACAATAGGACCCCCACCCCCTGTATCCGCGGAGGATGTTGCAAGGACCTGCCATGGATACTGAAACCGTGGATAGTAACAAACCCTGTAAATCGTATACATACCTATTATAGTGTAATTGGTGGAATGCACGTCACGGCTTCTCTTAGGCTTTGAAGAATTGCCAGCTTTTCTACTTTTGCATTTTGGGGCCATTATTATGCAAAATTAAGAGGTATTTTTTGGGCCTCAGTTAACCTTGGATAACTGAAACAGCAGATACCGAATCAGTGGATGCAGGTATTTCACTGTAATTGGTAAACTCTTGCGTGAATGAAGTTTTTATCTCTTGTTTGAATTATTTTCTTTTGTAAATTCTTATGTGAATAAAGTTTGCTGGGTAAATTCAAACTGAATGAAGCTTTTTAAGTATTAAATGAATTTTTTCTTTTACATATGAATTATTTTATAGTTTTTATATGAATGAAATCAGTTTTGGTTATCTCTTTTAAGAATAAGTTTTGTTTTGTAAATTATATTCTTATTTGTGCTTTCTATATATATCAAAATGACTTTCTAAATCTCTGAGGAAGGAAGGATAAATAAAAACAATGAAATATTTTGGTCAAACAATTTCTTTGGTCATTGTTTAACTTCATAGTATATATATTTATATATATATATATATTTATATAACATGGTCGACTCTTGACTAGACAGGAAATTTAAATGAGAAATTTCACTTATGGAGAAGAGAGGCCACGAGGGAACTCCCTCTCTACCCAAGACTTGTTTATAATAATAATAATAATTTCCCTAATATTCTCTCTTATCTTTCATATTGACTAATGATTTAGATATAAAACACTCGGTCATTTTGAGTGTCTCCGATTGACTAGACGAATATTGGAGTAAGACAGACAGGCAGTAGTAACTGTCATACACACACACACACACACACACACACACACACACACACACACACACACACACACACACACACACAACACACACACAAACACACGCACGCACGCACAGCTACCGTGACAGCGCCACACAACATATTCATGCTGAACAAGTTTGTATATCAAACACCATTAAAGCAACTGTAGCATTTAACAAATTCATATTTTAAATGAAATGCGAAAACAAGGTTGTTTACCAAGAGTTAGTGTATATAAAAATATTGGAAGATACATAAGACTAAAAAAATACATAGGTTGGAATGTCAACTCTCTTGGGACAAGTTTCGTTAACAGAGACAAGGTGAGACAGGATCTAATGACGTTAATTATGGAGTTCACGTAGCAAAAAACCCTCTCACTTATACTGATCTTTTTTTTCTGCGATGCTAGTATTCTTTCCTTCTGAGTTCAGTAATAACCATAACTCAGCAGGCAGCTCCTTAAAACCTCACTCACCAAACACCTGCGCATACAAAAAATAAGGCCATTTTCAAGATAGAGTATTTGTGGTCCAGAAAATTTGTGCACGATGCCTTATTTTCTTTTCGAATTCACCAATCGTCAATCTGGCTCACTAATCTGGTCCTCCCTTTTCGAAATAACCAATCATAAGCCATCTCGCTGTTTAAACTCCACCTTTCTTGTCAAGATAACCAGTCGCGTTAACCATTTCACTGTCAAGGTCTGCCTCTCTTTTCAGAATAACTAATCATAAGCTATTTCACTGTTTAAGCTCCTCTTGAAGTGGAACGAAAAATTATCACTACTAGTTTACAAAATCTCTAAAGTCTTTACATAGTTCATTTTATCTATGTAACGGGCAAATTGGTCCCAGTTATTACCGTAGAAGCTTAAAAAAAAAACATAATGAAGAGCTAGTTTAAGTGATTGCCGGCCATCCCACATAAAAGGATAGACTCTTGTCTTCACAATCTCAGAAATTAAGAGTTTTTGGCAAGATCTGGAAACTCGTACGTCATATTTTCTTGAGCAAAACATTTGGATGAGACGTTACAGTAAGAAACCTCAGTAGATATCAACATCGTAAATATGGACTCGCACTCGTGTGTTCAATTAGGCATTATTATATTCATGGGGAAGCACATAACCCGCAGGGGTCATACAGCGCCTGCTGAATGGCAGGTATTCAGGTTTGATCCAAGGAAGGGCAGGGTCGATTGTATTGGACGCAGCTGAAATTGTGTGCAGTCGCCAGTGATATGTCTGTGTACCACACAGTGCTGTACAATGTATTTTTGCAGTTAACTACAAACAAATAAATTATAGCATATAATAGCATGCATTATTCAGCATTTAACATATATTAATCATTGCATTATATATATATATATATATATATATATATATATATATATATATATTTTATATATATATTATATATATATATATATATATATATATACATATATATATTTATATATATTATGTCGTGTCGAATAGGTAAAATTGGTCAGTTAACAAGAACTCATTTAAAATTAAGTCCTTTCTAAAATTTTATCTTTTTATTTACGTTAATGTACAAAATAATGATTTTGCACTAAAAGCACCTTAGAAAACTTTCCTAACTTTATTATAACAAGCGCAATTTAATTTAGCGTAATCCAGCGAAATGTCTCTTAGATAGGTTTACAATAATTTAATAATAAACAAATACAATGAAATATTTTTTTAGTTAGGTTCAGAATGATTTTTGCGAAATTATTGCATACACAAATTTTCGCTTGCCTTATTCGGCAAGAAGAGCGTTGCTATTTAAGCCAAAATCACAAGTTTTACCTATTTGACACGACATCCTGAATTAAATTGCGATTGTTATAAGAAGGTTAGGTAAGTTTTCTAAGGTTCTTTTGGTACAAAATTATTATTTTTTATGTTAACATAAATGAAAATAATATATCTTTAAACGTATAAGAATTTTTTTTAGAAAGGACTTAATTTTAAATGAGCTCTTGTTGATTGACCAATTTTACCTATTCGGCACGACATTACACACTAAATATATATATATATATATATATATATATATATATATATATATATATATATATATATATATATATATAATATATAATATATATATATATATATATATATATATATATATATATTATATATTATATATATATATAATTATATAATTATAAAATTTTGCAACTAAAATTTAATTTTGAGCCTTGCACTAAGGAAGTGGGATTGGAGTTTGGATACAGGTTGGTTCCATCTGTTTGACATAATATTTGTGGCACACTTGATCGGATCGTCCGATTTAATACCTATGTTGATATCTTGCTTGGATCTCACTCATACACACAACACTGCTTGGAATCCCCACTCACTCACACAAGCCACTGGCTTGGGTCCGCCTCATACACTCAGTACTGCCTGGGGTCCCACTGATACATACAAAACATTGACTTGGATCCAGCTCATACACACAACACAGTCTGGAGTCCCACTCACACACAACACTGCCTGGGGCCCCACTCCGAGCTCCTTCTCAAACAGAATCAGGCCTCAGCACTTTCGAAAAAAATAACATAGCTTGAACAATGACAGTATTCGTTTTTAATATGGATAGTATTACAAACCACTAAATCCGCTAAAATTAATATGGCTAGACTGTACAAGAACGCTGTGACGTTTTTGCTTTGGCAGACGAAGGGAAAGGTCGGGATAAAAAGACTGGGGGGAGGTTCAGGGAAAGGAGAAAGGGAGTTGGGTTGGGAAGAGGCAGAAGTGAGAAGAGGGTGTAATTTCCATCCTATTCAGTAAATAATGACACCACATGGCTCTAACATGAATACATTGCACATATATACATCCATGCATACACACGTACATTCGTATATACATCCATACATACATCAGTTCATACATATGTACATCTATACATACACACGTACATGCATATATATATATAGCCATGCATACACATGTACATTTCAGAGACCAGTATACAATGCTAATCATTATCTGGACAGTTATATATATGTATTCAGGTTCACAATAATAGTAATAGTTATAATAATATTATGTAAAAGACCTATAATTCCTATCCCTGACGGTCGGGCATCGGGCACAGGAGCGGGGGAAGGCCCCTCTATTGACAGCGGTGACTTCACCAGCTGGGCATGACCTGACACACACCTGCCCCAGGTGCCAAGCTTACGTATCAGAAATTTGCTAAATACTACTTGCCGTGTATAAAACTTGTATGATGCAACGCTCTTAATCAGTTAACAACGAAGGCTGCTTGTTTGGGAGTTGAAATTTGCTCAGGCGATATGTATAGTGTTGTGGGTCGTATTTAGTGGAGACTAAACCTACCGTGGAGTAATTTTGTGCATGGAATGCTGGAGGCTCGATCCTCCTTCCGCTAATTATGACTTAGTCTCTGAACATTTGGGATATATGTAGACGAGTAGACTGAAGTGATTGTGCGATCAGGTTACAATAGTTTATGACAAGAAATAGAACGTAAATGACAAGACTTTGAAACTCAGGATATTTGATAATGCGGACAGAGAGGGATATAAGATATTTTGTATGTAGGATATAGAAGGTGGGACACGTGAGGGCAGGGGTCATGTACACGGGGGGACAAGGATATATAGGTAACAATTGTTTGGTGACGGTGAACACAAAAGCAGTGGCCTTGTGATAGCCTAAGATATGCTGGGAGTCGAGTGTTCAAGGGACGTCCACTACGTAGAGACAAGAGACGTGTGACGGATGATGTATGCTAAGTAGGGACAAGGGACTTGTGATGAATGAAGTATATATTATAGGGACAAAGGACGTGGGACGGACGATATATGCTACGTAGGGACAAGGGACGTGCGACGGAACACACTGCAGAGGAAGGTCTGGTGAGGGACCTAGGGATAAGGAGAGATACAAGAACACATGATGATGACGTTGATGTGAAATATGTTTTGTGGAGGAATGAAACTAGAAGAGATGTGCATATCCATACATACACATTTTATTTATCTTGGACATCTGCAAACTTTTATGTAGATATCCGTGATATATAGCATGTGTACATGATGGACAGGTGCGTATATATCATTGTAGGACTTATATCTTTGTCGTCAGCGTTGGATAGGTGTATGTCCACCAACGTAGGACAGGTGCGTATCTGTGGTGTCAGTCTTGGACAGGTGCATGCATACATGACAAGTGTGCGTGTTGTGTGTGTGTGTGTTTGTTTGTGTGTTTGTGTGTGTGTTTGTGTGTGTGTGTGTGTTGTGTGTGTGTGTGTGTGTGTGTGTGTGTGTGTGTGTGTGTGTGTGTGTGTGTGTGTGTGTGTGTGTGTGTGTAAGTATCGAGCTGGTGGAAGCCTCCTGATATAACATAGTGTTGGTCACAGCCAACACCCCCGCCCTGCCCGCGCCCTCACAACCCGAATTGCACGCCATCACACCCACGCCCGAAGGCGCGGGCGTGGGCAGCGGGCATTCCCCCGGTTTTGATTGTTACTGAGGTACAGTGATATAAAGGAGAGTACGGAGCGAGCCACGAGCCACGCAGGGAACACCACCCGCGGCATATCATCCCACCCGCGCTGTCCGCCTACGGCAAGCGACGGGCGTGTAGCACCTGTGCGACGGGGAGCACAGCGGGCCCCCGCGGCCCACTGGACTGGACCCACAGCCGTACCACCCGGCTCCAGTCCGCCCCGTGATTGTACTTTTAAGAAGAACGAGACCCTGAGATGTGGAGCGCCGTGGGGCGCGGAGATCACGCAGGCGTGAGGCTGAAGGAGACGGTGAGGGGGCGGTGAACGCGGCGAGCCACCGGCAGGTACACCAGTGACGGGACGAACTGTCGCTCACACCGCCTCGCTTCTTCTTTGTCACCATCGTCGCCTCCCTCGCTGCCTGCCTCACACCCCCCGTTGTTCATCAGGAACGGCTGCATGACGAAGCGTCCAGCTGAGCGCGGCTTGGTGGGCGTGGCGTGCGTAGTGGGCACGCTTGGTCCCGCACTGTGCTGCTCGCGAATGTGCTGTCTCAAAGAAGTCAGGCGCTGCGCTACTGCGCCACACTTACGGCACTTGTAGAGGCGGCGGTGGACAGGTGGGCGGCCGAGCCAGGTGCCACGTGCTCTGGGGTTGTGCATGGCATGCACGTGTGCCAGGCACAGTGCTCGCGTCCGGAAGCGCCGACTACACTGAGAACACCGCCACCTCTTCCTGCGTTTGGTGGGTGGAGCGCGTGCTGGGGTCTCTTCATTCGTCTCTACTGGTACCTTAAAGGTCTCGGGAGCGTCAGGTTCAGGATGGGTGATTTCTTTCTCTAGCAATGGTTTCAGAAGACCTTGTAGTTGATGCTGTAGTAGGTGGTGTTGGTAAGCTTCCAGACCAGGTAATACTTGTGAACACAGTGGACAAGGAAGTGATTGTCCTAGAACACCTGGTAAGGGGGCCATCCCACGGGTGTGAGTACGGGCGTGAGCCAACAGTAAAGCTGGTGAAGATGCTGTGAATGGACATATTGAGCAATGTAGAGATTGGGCCTTAGAATCCTTGGCTGGGGTTTGTGCATCAGTTTCCATGGGTGTTTCTGGAGAGCCATGCATCTTGATGACATGGAGCTGGAGGGAGACCAAGTCGGGCACTGCTAGGCCACACAAACCACATGTAGGCTCGCTCTTCTGGGGAGATTCTTGCACCCCCAGCGACCCCTCTATCTCGCGCCACTTGTCCTTGCCAGCGTCGTCATGGTCGCTTGTCAGATGGGTCTTCAACCACTTTAGGTTCTTGAAGCGGCGAGGACAAAGCGGACACGACTCGATGTCTGAGGGGACAATACCTTCGTCACCTTCTCGTCCTTCCTCGACCATCCCATGAGTGTTTTGTTTGTGCACACGGAGGAAGTATTTGCTGCACAGTTCTTTGTTGCACAAGTCACACGTCACTCCTCCAGAGACTCCATTTTCCACATTAATACCATGCATCTTCAGCATGTGAGTCTTCATAAAATATTTATTACAAAGTTCTTTGTTACAGATTTCACAATAGGACCGAGAAGTAGATTGAGGCTTCCGTTCCTCACGACTCTCTACTTCTGCTCTGATTCGTTCCATGAAGGAAGTGGGAGGTGCAGGGGGCGTAAACACCCCATGAGCACTTAGCAAGTGTTGCTGTAGGATATACCGAGAGAAAAAATCTCTCTTGCAAATACTACAGAATGCTTGGGTTACACCTGTAGGCGTGGATGGAGGTGACACCTTCAGGGTGGGTTCTCTTGGAGTTTTTGGAGTTTGGGCTCCTTCGCTGGGTGGTGCCGACACTTCCTCATGACCCAGGATTCCGTGCTCTGTCATCATGTGTGCACGCAGGAAGTACTTGTTGCCGACGTCCTTGTTGCACAAGGGACACCTCAGACCCATCTCTCCTTGACGGTTGAGCTGTAGTATCATAGACTGAAGTTTGCGGAGGTCCTCGCTAGCGTCCGACTCTCCAGACCCTGCCGACTCGATCACAGAAGGGCGAGGCAGGTCTTCGGTTCTCTCCGGTTGCCCTTCTGCATTAACAGTTGACTGCAGACTCTCATGCTCCAGTCTAGCTTGTTCCCTCTGATCTTCTTGTTTCATTAGCCTCTGCTGGTATTCTAGTTGTTTCTGTTGCTCTTGCATTCTTTTTTGATGTTGCTGCTGCTGTTGCCTAGCTTGTTGTTGGGCATGAAGTGCGAGCTGCCTCAACTGCTCGTGCGGTGACGGCTGTGGGTGCAGAGACAGAGGCTCTTGGTGCCCAGCCTCTTGTCCTGATCCATGGAAATAGTATTTGTGCATCTGCAAAATATAAGGGCTGGGGAAGGGACGACGGCATAGGTCACAATCAAGGTCACCGTCAGTGTCTGATAGTGTCGGCCGGACATAGAGCGCCTGACGCTCTAGAAGTCGTGCAAGATTCATAGGGGAGCTCTCTTTTTGTTGGTTTTTACTTCTGTCGGAGAACTCGGGTGTGTAAATGCCATGTTTCTTAATTCTGTGTGTGCGGAGGAAATACTTATTGCAAAACTCTTTGCAGCAGAGTTCACAGAAGGCGTCGGGGTTGATGACTCCCAACTGCCGGAGCTGCTCAGGGGTAAACTTCGTTCCGGGAGGTGCCTGAACCATTGCTGGCTGGCCCACACGGGCGATGATGCCAGTATCCCGGGAGCTCTCGTCAGCGCTGCTGCCCCCTGGTGTCCGATAGCCCTCACGAGATGGGTCTCTACCAATTTCACGTCCCTCAGGTCCAGCCTCACGACCTTCAAGACTACTTTCGTGACCTTCAAGGCTTCCCTCCCGACCTTCGCACCTAACTGGGCGGCCTTCGGTTCCCTCTTGCCCATCGTACATTTTTTCGCGATCAGCCACCTCTTCCTCTCTACTTGTTGGCCCTTCATGACTTTCTGGTCTTTCTTGCCGACATTCGGAGCTTTCTCCTTCTTGTCTCTTCATCGTTTCTGCTTTGACATCCACGTGAAGCTTTTCTTTAAAATTGTCTTGAATATACTGGAAGTTGGTACGTTCTCCTTTCTCACATTCTTCTGTCTCAGGCTCACTATTTTGCCGTTCACACTGTCGTCCTTCGCCCTCCTGATAAAGTTGCTCCTGGTGGCTTTCGGCTTGGTTTTCTCTCTTGATTTCCCCTTGGTGCTCAAGTTCACGTTGATCAGTAAGTAACCTCTCTCGTTGTTCTCGTTCATACTGCTCACGTTCTAATTGTTGTTCCCTGTATAACTCTCGTTCCCGGTCTCGCTCACGTTCCCACTCCTCTCGTTCCAGCTGCTGCAGTTCTCTTTCCCGTTCTAGTTCACGGTGTTGCCGTTCATGTTCTAAATATTGTTGTTGCACTCGCTCGCGATGTTGCTGCTCTAAGTCCCGCTGTTGCTGCATCTCCCATTCCCGCTGTTGTTCCTCCCTCACTGCCCGTATATCATGACTGTCGAGAGAAAATTCATGGGATGAATCTGCCAAGCGATCGAAGTGAGGAAGGGGACCGCTACTCTTGTCGCGGTGATTATACTGCTCACTGCTGCTTCGGGGTTCCTGCTTACCCCATGACTCAGCCCTTTGAAGGTTGTCCTTGAGTGGCTCTCTTAAACCCTCAGTAGCTCTTGGTATTTCTCGAATAGCATCCCAGGGTGATCCCAAGGGCCTCTCCCAAGGACTTCGCGCTGGATTATCGCTTGCTTGATCCCTCGCTTCAGTTGGTATTTCTCCTATGTCTTTCCTGGAGTCCCATAACTCTTTGATTGGCTCACGTGGGTCCTTCAGTGCCTCCCACGGGCTGAAATACTCTCTGGGGTCCCTGTGATCTGGACTGTGCTTCAGTCTGTCACTGGGTGTTGAAGTTCGAGGATTTCTTGCAGACTGGGGTGAGGTATTATGGGGTGATGGAAGCGTAGCTACGATGTGCGGTCCGTGAGCTTGCAGCTTGTGTGCGTTGAGTGCTGCCCGGCCACCGATATCCCTCCTGCAGGCGTCACACCAACCTTCAGGCCTATTTGGTGCCACACGGACGGGCACCACACCCGGAGTCTTGGGTTTGGTTACTACATCAATGGTTATGCCGTGAATCTTCGACTTGTGGCGCTTCAGGAAATATTTATTGCAAAATTCCTTTTGGCATAGCTCACAGTAAGCCTCGAGGTTAATGACGCCTCCAGGCTTGGTGGTGGTAGTGCTGGTACCTGGTTCCGTCTTCGGTATGGGCAAAGGCTTGCTGGCACCAGGGTGAGTGGGAAGCAGCGGAGGTCTCAGTGGGAGATTACTCATGGTGGCGGAGATGAAGGCTCCAGCGTAAGAAGATCCAACAAGGCCTCCTGAACTAAAACTAGGGCCCAGGGGCGAGGCCAGGGGCACACTAGGGCCCAGAGGTGTGGAGTGACCAGGGGTAATGCCCGTAGGAGAGCTACTAACCTCCGGAGAGTAAATGCCATGCTTGTTTCCTTTGTGAATCTTAAGGAAGTACTTGTTACAGAATTCTTTGTTACAGAGATCACAGTACGCTTGTAAATTAAAGATTCGATGGTGTTGACCATTAGTTGAGGAAGATGGGGGAGAGTTCTGTGACGGATGGCTGCCTGCAGACAGGCGTTCATGCTCTGCTTGTTGCAAGAACGGCAACAGGAAGTGTGGCGGTCCTAGTGGCAGGAGGCCGGGCAAGGGAAACTTCATGTCACCGAATGATGGCGGCATAGGAATTGAGATAGGAGGACTGCGGACGTCTTCATCTTGCGGTCTGGCAGTCGGGGCTCCACCCTCCCACCTGGGACTGGACAGGTTGAGTGGCGCAGCTCCATCTTCGTTCTTGAGACGCTCTGCGCTCTCTTGATCTTGCCGCAGATGCTGCTGGCGCTGTTGTCGTGCCTCGTCATCACTAAGCAGGCGTCCGATGTGTTCCTCGATGATGTGGCGTCTGAGACTGTCATCCGAGGGTGCTTGCAAGTGGCAGTGAGGACAGGTAAAGTTCTCTTCCCCTTCCGCCGATCGATCAGACATTTCTGAGTCGAACTGCGTTTCTTCAGTTTTGATGGGAGGTTGTTGCTGCACCTCGCCCGTGTCGCCCTGGGGCGTGGGGAGGCGCACAGGCTTGCTTTGCTTGCGCCGCTTCTTGGCTGACGCAGAGAGATGGTCTTCGCCGAGTGTCTTACTGTAATAGTGGCCAAGCTGGTCGTTGAGACTAGCCTCGTCGTCTTCCGTCGTGACGTCACCTCCAGAAGTGGACATATCGTGGGGGTCACCCCCAGCGGCGTAGTGGGAGGCGACGGCCTGGAAGTGGGCGTGCAAGTACGCGTGATGGGCGGCCGCGGGGTCCTCGGTGTTGGGAGTGGGCGGATGGATGTCCCTGGAGGTGTGGGGCGTGGTTCCTCTCGCCACTAATGCCTCCAGCAGCCCGCTGTTGAGTGCTGCAGACGCCATCTCACCGCGCCCTCCTGCAAAGAGAGAAACAATCCATTTAGTAATTGATGGTTTGTAATCCAGGTGGCGACATTAATGTGTTGCGTTGGAGGTGGGTAAGTCACGTGTTAGGGGTAACACGTGACTGTTTTGTCATGTCACTGTAACACGTGTTTGTGTGACACGTCACTGTTGCATGGGTCTTTGTGACACGTCATTGTAAAACGTGGCGGCGTCACATGTCTCAACAATGTACGATTAACATACTGTTAAATGAATAACAAATGAAATTTTACATACAGGATAATTACGTTAACACGTACATATAGTACAATCACTAATATTCATTATATGCACCTTAACAAATAATATGGTAACATTAACATAGAAGATAACTCAGAGCCCTGGAGAGCTGGGAGAGGGATTGGCTAAAGTTTTCGTCCCCTTAAAAAACCGTCGTCAAGCCATATGTTTGAGTGAATTTTTAGAAATTCTCAAAGGAACCAATCAATCATTTTTTCCCTCGTAGTATTTAGGTAACGTTCTTTTTCCACATTATGATTGCGGCTTCCTCTTCTTGCTCTTCATTGTGCTAAAAAACAAATACTTTTTCTTTATTTTCTCGTATCATATTACGATCTTGTAGACAATATGTCTCCTCTTTTACGAAGAAATGGGCAGTAGTCGTGTGAACCAACCACTAAAGTAGTCAATTAGCCATCAGCATCAAGACACCTTCCTTGAATGTGCCTTCATGCACCTATTTTGAATGTGTCTTGATGCATTTCCTTGACGCACTTTCAAGAAAAGTTTCACATCATTACCGACCCTCACCACATCTTCAAAACCCACGGCTACAGCATTTTTCCTTTGTCTTTCAAAATGCTGTTTGAATATGATAATTTGTTTTATGAGCATGGACACGATAATTAGAATTTTATTTCTTAAGAAAAACCACATGGTTATTTTTTAACCGTTTTCGTTATAGTTGAACAGTTTTTTTGTGGATATATTTTATTTCGAAAACGTTTCCTAACTTATAAATTATAAAGGAGTCGGAACATCCATTTTTTTTTATTTTCTGGCACCAGGTGTGCTGTGAGGCATAGGTGTGCTGTGAGACAGATGTGAAGCAGGTGTGTTTCATTACGTTAAGGGTATACAATATCGGCAAGTAGATGTGTAAGACAGTTTGGTATATTTCCCGACGGTATTTTTCGCTTGCTCGGCAGGCTTCTGTCGAAATAAAGAGGTGACAGCCGAAGTAGTGACGGTATATATATGGGGATCAGTCCCTCGGCATGGAGCAGCAGTATGAAGTGGGTTGTTTTGAAGCAGGTGTGTTTCAAGACAAATGTGTTGTCTAGTACAGGTGTTTTGTCTAGGACAGGTGTGTTGTCAACGACAGGTGTGTTCAGACCTGCTCAGCAAAACCGAATCATTCTTCACTCCAGGCAAGAAATGTATATATAAATTCATTACTTATTTTTACTCGTCACACTTCAGAAAGAAAAACATTCGCTTATCCGAAACGACCATTTATCCGAATATGTTGGTTGTTTTACTAAAAGCTTTGCAAATTGAATTTCTTCCGAATTTCTTCAACTCTTGAATGCACACTAATGGGCATTGCACAAGGAGGAACTGTTAAAATCAAGAGTCAGTTCAGCTCAGTGTCATATCATTTCGTTCTGTTACGCTCCTGCTGATTAGCTCTCTGCCCATTTATTCGCCCCAGAACGTACGCGTAACACGTGTATTTACGCAAGTACGCTATCATAATTTGTCTAATGCGATTCTCTTCGTTAATAGGGATTTTTGAAGTTTGTTTTTACTTAATAATTGCTTGTGAAACCTGCTATATTATGCAAAACACACACACACACACACACACAAAGTTTTACCTATTCGGCACCACACACACACACACGCATATACAACAGGCCTAGTCTCTAATCGACATGTGCCTAGGACACAATGGTAACTAACACACACACACACACACACACACACACACACACACACAGCCATCGCTGCCTCAATAACTTTTTCCTTGATTTTTTTTTTCGGCTACCTCGCATGCCACTCTGTTCATCTCCTGTGAGTGCTTCCTCCTCCTCCTCCAGCCTTACTACTTGCTCTTTTAGGGTGATCTTCTTATGTGACTGCTGACGCTATCAATACCTTGTAATACTCTATTTACCACTGCTTCCCTCCTTGTCCCTACTTACTAACTCTCATCTTTTCCTTCTTGCCTGTTTTGTCATCTCCCATTTCTTGTAGTTTTCCAGCTCTTTTCATCCTAGCATTGCAGCGCCCTATGCCCCTTATAACTGTAATAAATATTATTACAGTTAATAATAATAATAATCCTAGCTTTGTTTTATTTTTAACTCTTGTTAGACATAACTTCGTTATTTCTGCTTTTAATTGTAACTGTGTGTACATAGTGTATCTGTCATGCGCTCATTGTACAGAGGATTAAGCTTACACATCATGAATGACTAAGACGGGTTTAGCACTTAGCATAAGCAAAATAATTATAGTCTCAGTATGAACCTTCCTGTGACTTGGTACTTTCTGGCTAGGCCTTCATCTCCTGGGTTGCTCATATATACATTTCAGTTTTTCACTGGTCTTCATATAGAAAACTCTCATCGCTGTATATATTTCACCTTTCTTTTCTCCTGCAGTATTTGTTCTTCGTACATTTCCCTTCGGTTTCACTTCTTCCACTTATTCAAAACTTAACAGTGTGTAGTCACCTCTGTACGATTCACTTAAGGTGGAAAACTAGGTCCAATCTTGCTGGTTCATCACCTGCTGGCCTTTTTTTTCTCGATGTTATTGATATGAAATATTTCATTAATGCGTCCATCATTGTTGTTTCTAATGTTTATGGCTCTCTATGCACATCCTAAGCTTCCCAGTCTGTTTCCTTTTGATTAAAACTCAATTTTATCAGTGCTACAATCTCTAGGTAAGTTATGCCTCTCTTCTTGACGTCATAATCCAACTTTGGTCCCTTGTTAAGTATGTTGTAAATTCCCTAATCCTCATGCTGTTTGGTAAGTAAACTTTCTGATGTTAAGGTCTTTTCGGCTCGACTCTTCTCACTATAAGGTATCCCTCTGGGATTAATGCATTTATTTTTGTGAGACTTACAGTGTCTGATCCTCTACTGTCCTGTCCTTTCAGTTCATTTTTCTTGTAATTGATTCTGTTTCTGTATAGCGCTATGATTCCTCTATCGTTCTTTTTTGTACTGGAAGTTATAGTTTTGTCTCAGTCTGGTATCGGAATGGAATTCTCGTGTAAGGGGTGAGTGTGGTAAAAGGAACTGATGTAAGTAGCACGTGAGAAAGAGGCAGATGGAAAGAGATAGGAAGTGGAGTATGAAGAGTTGGCGAAGGTCAAATGACGAGAGATGTATAGCAGGGGGGAGGGAGAGGTATATGGCAGGGAAAAAAGGGAGATGAGGAGCTGTGTAGCAAGGGAGGGATTAATGGGGTTGGGCAGTTGTTAGTTATTGTCGCTGTACCCTAAATTCTGTAAGTCTTTCTCTGTTTTACTCTCATTTCGCTTTACCCTTGCAATATGTCTTTCCGTGTATGTTCTGTACTTGTCGCACCTCTTTGATCGTCCGATTTCAAATTAAGTACGTGATCCATCACTGCTGATGATCCAAAAATAAATTTCATCGAGTACCGTTGTTCTCTTTACGTACAGTTCTCGCTCTGAAAAAAAAAATTGTCAGCTCATTTTGTTTTTCCGTCTCTGTTCCTGCACCTGTGTGTGTGTGTGTGTGTGTGTGTGTGTGTGTGTGTGTGTGTACTCACCTAATTGTGGTTCCACGGGTCGAGACTCAGCTCCTGGCCCCGCCTCTTCACCGACCGCTACTAGGTCCTCTCTTCCCCTGCTCCATGAGCTTTATCATACCTCGTCTTAAAACTATGTATAGTTCCTGCCTCCACTACATCGCTTGCCGTGTGTGTGTGTGTGTGTGTGTGTGTGTGTGTGTGTGTGTGTGTGTGTGTGTGTGTGTGTGTGTGTGTGTGTGTGTGTATCTGTGTGAATGGAAGGGGGAGACTATCCGATTTCTTTATTAATTTGCAATTTTGCACGTCTTTTTTTTTCATTTTCTTTGTTAATAATGCTAAGAAATGTTTCCTCTTGTTAGTTTATCATTTATGACACATGTAATTACATTCAACATGTTCCAGTTTATTCTTCATTTTTTAGTATTTCTTAGAATTAAAAGTTTAAACATTCCTTAAATAAATTCGGATTATTAAACCTAGATAATACTCAATGTAAATAGGAGATGAAATTTACCTGCCATCTTACATTTTTATGAGCGAGAAAAACCCAATAATTCTGCCAGAGTGCAAATGTGACTTTGTAAATGGTCCAAGTCGGACCGAAACGTCGTCGTAGCTCCTCTCTTCTATGTGCGGGTTATTTGTGTATCAGCACACATGGACGTGTTGGATGTACCGCCTCCAAGCAGGTCAGTGAGAGCGCTACTTCTAGCAACAAATCTTGGGGAACGACACTTGTATCATCCTCAAGATGAGCATCATCACAACTCCAGTAAAAAAAACGATCCTTTATTAACAATATTTCGCCTATAAGGTGGGCGTTACTAAGTCAGACAGATCTGTGTGTGACCTGATAAAGCCCATTATGTGAGCGAAATATTGCCAGTAAAGATCGCCCAGTGCTGCATTTGTTTCTTTTTCCACTTTCGTCTACATTGGAGATGCCGTGATCCAGGTGAGAGGCTCTTGATCCAAGGAATTTTACCTGATTGCCGTAAAATTTCCCAGGCGCTGTGTGAACAGTACTAGTTGTAAGAGTGCAACAACATCTGCACTTGTGATTTGTCAGGTCACAGGACAAGTGTCACTTGACATCGTGTCATGGGATAACCAATACGAAACCAATACGAAACCAATACGAATTCAATACGAATTCAATACGAAAGCATTTGCTTTCGTATTGAATATCAGTGTTAACGCAACCACCGGCTTAC